CCCACCACTAGGGCTGATTTTCATAGCCACGCCCACCACTAGGGCTGATTTTTCATAGCCACACCCACCACTAGGGCTGATTTTCATAGCCATGCTCATCACTAGGGCTGATTTTCAGGGTTGGGCTTCTATTGCGCACATGCTCAGACATCCTGCTGGGGTTTATTTTCGGGGAAACAGGGTACTTCTGGACGTCATGAAGCTGACCCAGAAGTTCCGCCCTGAACTAACCGCCAAAGCGGGTCGTAAGTCGCACCTGGTCGGCTGTCCCCAGTTTCAGACTCTGGGCTCACCCGAATCCATCCTCCTCTGAAAACCTGACTCTGGTCTCCGAACGCTCCATCAGACCTTCCTCTGAGCCTCCTGTTTCTGGGGGCCGGTCCATTCACAGTCTTGCCTCCTGCTGATGCATTGTCACCACTTTTCCCTTCATGCCTGTCCGGAACCACAGCCAGACCCAGGCCCACGCAGAGTGGGGTCTCTCTGCACCCGGTATGAGATTACTTCATAATCCAAGCAGAGGAGATGATTTATTTTCCCCCCTCTCTACCTGCTGCTCTTGAGATATTGCCACCATCGTCTCACCTACTCTTGCTAAATCTGCCACTCACCCATTGCACAGTTCGTTCATTCACTCATTCGTGGCCCCCCCCCCCGGAGCGCTCACTACCTGCAAGGTGCTCTTGAAAAATGTCAGGCGTGGCTCACGCCAAGGAGCTCACAGCCCTGGAGAGCTGCCTGTGACCTTTCCCGGCTCATTCTTTCCAGCTTCTGGTGCCATCACTTTGGGATGTTCTCAAAGACCTTGAGTCCTGCTAATACAAACCCTGCACCACGCGAACGCTCCGTTATCTGCTGGGCGATCATGGTGACCCACGCCCGAGGAGGAGGAGGAGGAGAATGCACATGCCTTTTGCTCCTGGAAAACAGAATTGTGCCTCCCCCTGGCTAGACAACGAGACCAGGCGTGCTTCTGCCCCGGCAGAAACAAAAGAGAAACAAAAGAGAGCCACACGCGCACACCACACAGAAACTCGTGAAGCCGATGCTTGAAGAACGCTAAATTATTTTTAAAGCCACCTCGCGTGTGGCCTTCGTGATGTGCTGGGATGGCAGAAATAATTGCCTGAGCTACCACCAGAAAAGAACCCCCTGCAAGAGAAATCCCTGAAACTCTGCCCCTGCCTGCCCTGGGACAGGCAGCAGAGGAGAGCCAGTGTGCATTTTGTCCACTCTGATTCCTGACCTACTTTGTGTTCCCATGAATCGCTTACTTTGCTGGAACCCTAACAAAA